TGGAGGGGCGAGCCACCACCATGGCAGGTTGAGCCTGGTGGAGGGACAAGTGGCTGCTGGTTCCAGGGCTTGTCTGACCATGCTCTTGGCTTCCCGGTTGTCTCAAGGAACTGACCATGGGGGAAGGCGGGTGGCTTGGCCGCCATCGTCTTCTCCAGCAGCGAACGATGTCGGAGGGGGCAATGGTTTTCCTGCCCGTCCCCTGCATGGTGTCAACCTGTCCCGCCTGCAGCACCTTGAACCGGGGGGAAGTTCTGGCAGGGGGTTGAGGCTCCTCTCACTGGGGTGTCCGCTCCCCTGTCCCCATCATCACCATCACCACCATGGGGATGGTGAGGAGGAACCAAGCGTGGTGGTTGGGGTGGAGGGATCAAGGAGCGGCTCCCACGCTGGCGGTAACGTGGTCTCTCTCTGCTCTTTGCAGTTGACATGGATGATGAAGACGGCCGGTGCCTGCTAGATGTAATTTGGTAAGTAGCGCTGCGCCGCACTGTGCCGCGCCGGTTCATCGGCTCTCCTGCTGCTTTGGGGACGGCACTGGGGTGGGAAGGGGGTTTCCACCACCCCCCTGGTCCATAGGCGCATCCCCATTGGGGCTTCTCCAGCCGAGGTGCGCTCCGAAGAGCCTGCACGCTCCCCAAACCCCTCCCAATTTATGGGGGTTGCCTCCTCCTGGGAAGCGGGGAGGGCTCCAACCTTCTCCCGGGGGCCGCGCCGGCGGAGGCTTCGCACAACCCTACGTGAGGGAAGTCTTTGACTTGACACCCCTACGTGAGGGAAGTCTTTGACTTGACAACCCTACGTGAGGGAAGTCTTTGACTTGACACCCCTACATGAGGGAAGTCTTTGACTCGACAACCCTACATGAGGGACTCGACAACCCTACGCAAGGGAAGTCTTTGACTCGATAACCCTACGCGAGGGAAGTCCTTAACTCAACAACCCTACATGAGGGACTCGACAACCCTACGCAAGGGAAGTCTTTGACTCGATAACCCTACGC